AGCTGCACAATGAATAAGGAAGACCAAAGCAGAATCGATGCATTTGAATTGCAGTGTTGGCAAAGAATACTGAAAAGATCATGCACTGCCAGAAGAACAACAAATCTATCTTGGAAAAGTACAGCTGGAATGCTCCTTGGAAGCGAGAATGGACAAACTTTATCCCACCTACTTTGGTCATGATGGGACCATTCACTGGAGAGGGACAGCATGCCTGGTAAAGTGGAAGGTCAGACAACAAGCAGAAGACCCTCAACAGGATGGCTCAACACGGTGACCACAACGATGGTATCAACCATGCAGGGTGTGATAATGGCACAGGGCAGGCAGTATTTCGCTGCTATACAGAGGAGTCGCTGTGCGTCAGCACCTACTCAACACACCTACCCTAACCTAACACTGCCTCTGTACAGGGATCCAGAGAGAAAAGTTCTCCCCTTGCTCCAGGAAGGAAATTCAAGGAAAGTAGTGAGGATGCCTAAGGCATTTGACTGCTAACCAAAAGGCTGGCAGTTGTAAACCCACCAGCTTCTCTGTGGAAGGAAGATAGGGCAATCTACCTCTGTAAAGATTTACTGCCTTGAAAACCCATGGGAGTCACTATGAGTCAGAATTGACTCTATGGTAGTGACAGAAGAAATTTTTTCCTAAAAATAGTTGACCTGCAAAAGTGTAAAACAAAAAAATAAATAAATATAATGCCAATGTGTCAGTTAGGAGCTCTGGTGGCACAGCACCTAAGGCATTTGACTGCTAACCAGAAGGCTGGCGGTTCAGACCCACCAGCCACTCCTCAGAAGGAGGATTGGGCAACGTATTTCTCTAGAGATACCGCCTTGGAAACCCAAGGAGGGGTTGCTGTGAGTTGAATCGACTCGATGGCAGTGAGTCTGGTTTTTTTTGGTTGATGTGTCAGTTAAAAAGAAAAGCAGGCTGAGAGGTGTGTGCATGTGTGTGCACATGTGTAGGTATGTGATCTAAGGCCACAGGATGTGAATTTGTTGACCAGTGAAATTCTACTGCACATGAACTGATAACCTATTTGTGAAGAAAATATGCCTTTGTTGGAAATTTCTTCCTTTGTCCCATGCATCATGTTTTGCAGAACTAAAGGTATTCTAAGAAGCTCTGGTGGTACAGTGGTTAAGGCATTCGGCTGCTAATCAGAAAGTCAGCCTTCAAACCCAGGTGTTCCCTAGGAGAAAGATTTGGCAATCTGCTTCCATAAAGACTGACAGCCTTGGAAACCCTAGAGACAGTTCTCCTCGGTCCTCTAGGGGCACTGTGAGTTGGACTCGACTTGACTGTTACAGTTCTCTGGGAAGAGTATGCTGTGAATCTTCAAGCCTTGTCCCAGTACACTGTGTTTCTGGCCACTGAGAAGGAAAGTCAAGTCACCTAGAAAAATGTCCTCACTATGATTTTGCAAATACTGACATCATTTAACACTTCATCTGAGATTCTTGGTTCTAATAGAAGATTCCAGAGCCCAACAGTGGCAACATGTCCAGAGTGGTAGCCGAGGATGGATAGTGAGTAGAAGACAATGTCAGGGCCCCTACTCTGCACTGATCAAGCCAATGGCAGCGTGGCTGGAGTGTCAGGGGCAGCTCCTCCCTGTGCAGTCACCCAGGTAAGGGGCAGTCCTACATGCGGGCTGATGGCATTGTTGCGGAGAGTGGCCGGTGTCCCCTCCAGTTCTGGTGAAGCCATGAACTCGTGCCCAGCTGCAGAACACACTGTTGGAACAGCCAGGGCTACAGGGGATGAGAGCTCAAACCTCAACAAAGACCTGTGCATCAGCCTTCCGTTTCCTGAGACAGAGCTCCCCCTGATGTGGGCAGACAGTGCTACGGTCCTGGGGCTGCCACACTGCATGTGACATCAAGGCCGTCAGGCTGGTGGTTTTGATGGAAACACCTGAAGCAGTGCACTACAACAGAGAGGAAGCGCCAGAGTGAGGCCACGCCAGGCGCTCTGACGGCCGGCTCTGCGAGTCTAGGCGGAGAAGGGCTGGGGATGGACTCGGAGTGGAGGCTTTCAGAAGAATCCTGCTTTAGAAAGGTTTATCTCTGTGTGGAGGGAGAACCCGACTCACTGTGCATGCAACTTAGCTGGAGGGTTTGATTCTTCTGTGGATTAGATGCTCTGGCTGAGGAATCAGATGGCATTTCGTGAGTTACAGTGGCTCCTACGGAAAACTAGAGGTCTTGGGGACACTGAGTTTCCACCCAGTGGTGAGGGGAGAACGTTTCCCACGGAATCCTTCTTAAAGATGCCATGTGAGCAGGGTTGCTTATGACCACCTTCCACAGGTCCAGTTTATGTGTACTGACGGTATCGTATAAGGACCTGCTCTTCATGTCTAAGCGTTTTGCCAGGGCTGTCCCAGGGACAGCAGTGCTCAGAGCAAAGGAGCAGTGGTAGTACCACCAGTGGGGGGTCCAGGCATTTATCGGCAATGGGCAATAGAAATGCAGATTTACACCATTTCTTCTTTTCAGAAATTTAACCATTAGCATTACAGTGGAATAGCTTCAAAGAAAGCAGTGTGTCAGGGTGGTTTTGTAAACACTTCCAATGGTTTCCAGACTGTAATAAAAGTCAGAGCTATTGTATGTTTGTTTGTTTTTTCTTTATTAGGAAGTTGGTGGGGGACAGATGTAGGAGTGGAGCTCCTCTCTTTGTATAATTATCATCTATTTTAACTTGTAAATTGCTAAAAGGGAGGCACCATAGCTCCCATGCTTGCCATTTCTTTCTTTTCAGTGTATATTTAAATCCTGGTCATGTACATACAGAGGAAAACTTCAGGAAAGTGAGGCAGTTAGTTAGTATAGAAAAGGAATTACACACTTCTAGGTTTTTAGAAAAAAAGTTACTCTAGATTTTAGCAAATTAGAAAGAAATATGTTACCTTGAAAATTTTGAGGCTTAGTAATCTGAATTGGATGCTTGGAGATACCTTGTATATTCTGTCAATGATAAGAGGAGAAAGGCTGTAGTTGAAATACTCTTAAATCAATCTGTACTATTTAAGCGCATTTCAAATGTGTTATATCTCATTAAACATGAACTAAATAAGTAATGCCAATGTATTACACATAAGCATATTAATATTTAATACAATTGTATAATTAGCAAACTTGAGAACAATTCTTTCTCACGTAGCCTGTATATCCTTTACAGTAATTATATACAGCATCTCTTTTTAACAGAAGCCTAAATTTGACCTCAGTTAATGTCTTAATTCCTACATATGGTTAATGTAGATCTCTATGAAATTTGTACAATGTACTTTCATTTAAAAATGTATTTTAAGATAAAGATTCTGTTATTTACCCATAGTCACCTCTCGTCTACAGGATAAATGAAAAGAAAATAAATCCCAGAAAACATCATAATCGAACTGCTGAAAACCAAAGACAAAGAAAAAATCTTGAAAGCAGTCAGAAAAATAACCCGTTACATGGAGAGAAACAATGATCTGAATGACTGTAGATTTCTCATCAGCAACCATGCAGGCCAGATGACGTGCAACAGCCCACATCCATGCTGGGATACTGATCGCATACGTGAATTTTTAAAATCTGCATACATTAAGATTCACTCTTTTGCTGTAGAGTCCTGTGGGTCCTGACATATGTGTGAGGTCATGTATACACCATTACAGTGTCACACAGGATAGGTTCACCACCTAAAACTTTGCCTGTGTCTCACCTAGTCAGCCTCATCACCTGACCCTAAACTGGCAACCACTGTTCTTTTTACTGTGTCTACAGTTCTGCTTTCTCCAGAATGTCATGTAATTGGAATCAAACAATAGGTAGCCTTTTTAGATTGCCTTCTTTCACATGTTGTCATTCGGTGCCACCAAGTCTGCTCCAACTCCCAGCGACCCTGTGTACAACAGAATGAAACACTGCCTGGTCCTGTGCCAGCCTTCTTTCAC